TTATGGCAAATCATAAAAAAATTATAAAAATACAGTGAATGAGGCCCTGTCTTGCAGTACTTTTAAGGGCCGATGATAATGTAGAAGAAGTCTTTAGTGTCTGACCCCCTCTAAACTTAAGAACGAGTACACATTAGGCGTTTTGAAGCGCTCGCTTTTGTAACGCGCATTTTAAAAAACGTCTAGTCCGATACGTCCGTACACATGCCAACACGCGCTTCTATTCAAACGAGCGTCAAACGCGCGCTGTCAGAATTTGGTTAGAACGTTAGTTGCGCGGGCGTAAGCCGCGCACATGCACATGATACATCAGCTGCCATTTTCTTATATATTTGGTCGCGCACTTTCGTGTAGAGTGGACGCAAATAAGGAGATCGAGCATTTTGATAGGGATTTCTTTATCGATGAAATCCAAAAGCGACTAGCTATAAGGAACTAGATACTACTCGGCCTGCTAACGCTTGTCGAATGCCATGCTGAGCGCGGTGTATGTAAGTTATCAACACGCGCTGAATGCAACGCCGAACGCCCAATGTGTACTAGCTCTTAATCGCTCCTGCAAGTCGCGTTATTATCATTGCAAAGTAACAAAAGTACCTAGGTGTTAAAGTTGTTGTTGGTTAAACGAATTCGTGGGATAAAACATCTTCTCACCAACATCATAACCGATGGTAATATTTGTGTTTACCACCTTCTTTTAAGAACAACTTATTTGAGCAGAGTACCATTATAAACATTTAAAGGATATTTATTAAAAGAGAACAGTGACATTTGTTGGTAAATATTAAAAGCATATAAAAACAAACTGAATGAACTGTCAAGTCTACTGAAGACTGCAGCTTTATTTCCCGTCTAACAGCCATGAGACTAAGAGTGTCATCGGAGAGTTTTTGTGTTCCTCTGCGGCGGGTCTTGCAAAACTTGCAAAACCGCATGCACAGTTTCCACGAGCTTGTCATTCATATCGTCCACTGCATTGCAAACTTCTAAGCACTGAAAACGGTTTCGTAGCCCGAGCTGAATGGTTTCGGGACTTTGGATTAGAGCACGAGGGGGACGGATCGTCGACTTCATTAGACGTGACCTCTCCAACTTAATGTTTAGGTTCGGTGTGCCTCTCACCATTCGGTGATTGTTGCCGGTTTTTACCCTCGCGATCACTGAGACATTACTGAACAATTGTCGTCTGTTCGTCATAATGAAATCAATCTCATTTTTTGTCGAACCGTTGGGGCTTGACCAGGTCTACTTCCTGTGGGGCCGTTTCTGGAAGAAAGAGTTCGTCATAAAGGGTTCCTCTTTCTCCATGAAGTCGGCCAGCTGCTGGCCCCTTGGGTTCCGTTGCCCTATTCCAAATTTCCCTACCTTCAGCTCACCGTTCTCTCTTTTGCCTAGTTTTGCGTTGAAGTCTCCCATCAACACCGTATAGTGGGTTTTGGATGAATGCATGGCTCTTGATATATCCTCATACATCTCCTCCACCTACTTATCGGGATAGGCCGAGGTTGGTGTGTAAACCTGTATGACCTTCAGTGAATACCGTTTGGTGATTCTGAGTATAAGGTAGGCAACCCTCGTCGACACGCTCTCGATCTTTACAACGTTGTTAACGAGAGACTTGTGGACGATAAATCCGACACCTCCTTGGGACAGATGGTTGCCCTCCTGGTTATAGAACAAGTTGCTGATTTCGGGGATTACCATGTCCTCTAACCTCTCTTTGGACCTCACATAATCCTATTTTAATTCCAGCGCAACTTGTCTATCTAGTCTTCCAGCTCCAGGATCTTCTCGTCAGTCCTCAGGGTGCGTGCGTTATATGTTGCCAGGTCGTGTCGTCTTAAGATGGGGTCCCACGGCTTGCCAGGCGACAGGCCGCGCCAGGCGTTGCCCCGCTTGAATGGGCCTGTCGCGGCCTGTACTGAGCATTCCCACGGCGTGTGCCGGCCTGGTGCGGCCTATCGACTGATATTCCAACATGTTAAGTGTTGCGGAGCGCATGGCTGCGTGTGCAGCCGCTGTGGTTTTATTCAGTGGTGAACGTTTGATAAACCAAGAAAAAGAAAGCAGAAGAGACGACGTTGGTGGGTGTCGTCATTCAACAAAAGTCGTTCTTGTTTTTATGTTGAGGCGAAGAACTATTCCAAAGCATTGGTTCATTTTTATAAAGAGTTAAAAACTCGAATATGACCTCGTTCGTCCACTCCATCATGAGCGTGTACGCGCAGGCGCCACCGCAGTTGAAATGAACGATTGTAACCATAGATTACTGTATATATACTAGAGATTGCAAACAACGCAGACGCGCCCGCACAGGCCGCGACAGGCACCGTCGCGCCGCGCCGCGCCGCGCCTTTAACTTACCGTCTCCCGATGGATTGTTGCTGCCTATCGTCTGCCTCAGTTTCCCTCTGTCGCCACTTACGACACCCACGGGAAGATATGGGGTAGTGAGTATTCTTACCCGCCACTACACGGGATAGATAAATAACGGAAGGATTTTTAATAAGTTTCCGTATAGTACCTACGTGAAAAACCTAAGTTCGATCCTCGCCGTTACCAAGAATATTATTAATAGCAATTTAAAAATTTGATTTTCCATGTACTCGGTGGTAAAGAAAAACATTGCAAGAAAAACTAATTTAAAAAAATTTTAATAAATAAAATACTTTAAATAAAATATGATTTTGTCAACACGGTACTGTTGCAAAAGAAAACACACAGAAATATGTAGATAATTGTGCCCTTTTGTGAGACGTACATAGGTAATATATAGACTGTTAGGTTACATATATTTCAAGTAGAACATATTTGTGCACTCGTATATATAGGCACGATTTTAAAAGTGGTACAAGTTACTTCGATTATCCTAGTTCTATATATTACAACTTTCTTTAATATATCTTAAGAAATGCATAATAAAGTTTAAACTGGTTTTGAGTTTTCCGCCTATAAGTGATAAAAATATTATCAGATATTAAGACAACAGATCTTCAGGAAAGACAAACAGAACAAGCATTTTTGCATAATATTTGCACAACACCATACAACGATGATGGTTAATTAAAATACTCGTACTTTTTCTTAGTATTGCGTTACTAAGGTATTGCGTTAATCTTTGAGAGAAAATATTTTTTTTTATTTACCGTTTCAGGTATATTAATGTCATTAATGAACATTCTATTAAGTACATCATTTAATTACGATATCTGAGATTAGATTAAAATGCACTGAATGACTCAAAGCCACCGTTAAACAAATTCATACCTACATTTTCAAATTAATAATCATAAATTTTGATAGAATGAACCTACTTTAATAAAACGAGTACTAAATGTTACTCGGTGATACATTTTATTATTTTCTTAACGATTCTTTTGAAAAATAGATGTGCGTGATGCTTACATAAACAAACAAACAGACAGATAATTCTAAAAGTGGTAGAAATGTACACTTATAATTAATTATTTTTCGTCCCTCTACATCATTTTGTCATGAAAAAATTCAGTGACTTCAATAAGTATTATTTATAACCTATATTGAATAAAAAAGTTTCTGTTCTGTTCAGTGTTTGTAAAAAAAAATTACAAATACCTACCGTAAATTTTCATTCTTATTATATCTTTAAAGATTTCAATGAATACGTTATTATGTGGGCGCACGATGATCTAATACACTCTCAATACGACAGACTGCAGCCACTATGGTGTCCATCTTACTCACTCGATTCTAGTTTTTGATAAAAGTATCATTATAGAGCGAAACTTTTTATTATTATGTACTACTTTTTAAGATCAAACAGAAAGTTTTTCTGTCTGATTCTACGAATTTTGTCTAATCCAACCCAAGGTATTTATTTTCAAATTACCTACATACTCAAATGTACTCTCTGCCTACTATTGCATATTTTCTTAAAGGAATAAAATAAATATCAAATTAGTCAAAGCTACATCAAAATTACAAATGGTAAACATCGGCCGTAAAACAACAAAAAATATATTATAATTTCAGATTCTATAAGAAACATATTAAAAGGAAGTTCACAAATATTTAGCTAACATGTTATTACTAGTTGCAGACATTTTTTAATGATTATATAGGAAACTGATATGAAAAAAAGATGTTTTATTATCTCATTTATATATAAATATGTTAATTGTATACACTTTAATGAAATAATAATAATAATTTTATAAACAATATTATGTAAATCTAATATTAATATTACAAAATGTAAAATATTTGCAGTGCCTTGCAGTAAATATTTGAACTTTTTTTTTATATTTAAGACCTAATGTACACAACAAAAATAGCAAAATAAATTCATTAAATTATATTTTAAGACCGTTAGTTTATGGCCTATTATATTTATTATTTTACAAAATACACTTTTCATAGTCGTGCCAATATCGATGCTGTACAGTCACGATAATCTCCGTTCGTGAGTTACATGAAATAATAAACACTAGTCAAGGCCAAAAAGTAGAAACCACAATTATAGGTTTACATTATTATTTAAATCATTAGGTGATGTCAATTCATCTTAGATTGTTAAACTTAAGTCGTTTTAGAACTCTTGAAATTTACAGGTGACGTCACAGATCCGTCTTCACTTGATAATGATGCGTAAAATGTTGTATTGTAGATGTAATCACGAACTTCAGTTGCAGTACTCATACAGAGTTGTCTGGCAGTTAATTTCTGCGTATCAACTCGAGATCTAAACTCAAGGCAGTGTCAATAGTACGAGTTGGTATGTAATTTTTCTGGCGTCACATTTAATGCAGTGTACCGTGCAGTGCACGTGGTGTAGTTACGAGCTACCGGTGCCCGTGGTTGTCGTAGCACAGACTCCGCGATCGCCATAGTTTGATCGCGCTCACCGCTAACCGCTTAGTCACACTTTTGCCAACGGACCGCGCAGCGCGCTATGCCATCTGTGTTAATGAACACTACTAATAACGGATTATTGTGATATATATATGTGATAAAATACGAATATGGGCTTCCTGAGCGGTGTCTCATTCTCCATATTCAAAAAGTGTCCGAACCTTTACTTTAAAAGAAGGATCCACGTGCGGAAAAGGTACAGATGTTTAATTAGATGATTTGATTATTACTGAAGCAAAGTTCTCCAAATAATTTGAGCACATGGACTTGTTATCTTTCATAAAAATATGAGTTGAGCAAACCATGCTTAGATAAAATTTATTACCTACGTTTTCATTATGTTACATCTAAATTTATCATCAAATTAGAAGTTATTTTCATTGAAGACAGGTCGTACCAAATAGATTAATTTAGGTGGTTATATTTTCTGGTTATATATCATGTTGATATGTTTTGTCCTAGCTTAAGTATTAAGTGTTGGGTGTATGTAAGTGTGTTGTGTGTGTTAGTGTGCCGTGGTATTTCAAGAGCTTAGCGCTCGATGTAAATTTTACAGTACGCGGGCAACCCGGGTTCGATCCCCGCCGGAATGAAATTGTTAGTTGCAACTTTAAGTGCTGATTCATCACGTGCTCGGCGATGAAGAAAAACATCGCGAGGAAACCTGCATTTCTAAATAAAAAAATATTTGGAAAACGTGAAGTCTGCCAACAAGCATTGCGGTAGCGCGGCGAACACTTCCTTGCCTTAAAAACCCTTTCAGAAGTGAGAGGAGGCCTGTGCCCAGCAGTGGGACGTAAATAGGCTGTTACTTAAATAAAGTATTAAAATAATAATTTTATAATAAGGGCGGAAAGTTATACGATCAGAAGATATTATCGGTTTGATAATTATTTCATTATGTATATTGTTATCGGAAAATTTTAAAAGGAAACATGACTGCGTAAATCAAATCGCTTTTGTTGCGATTGAGTTGGTAATATCAAGGTCTTATTGGTTAACCAATCAAACACGTAATTACCTAGTTTTACGTCACAAATTTTATATAGAAAAAGTAGTAATCTCAATGAGTTATGAATCCTATACTTTAAATGAGCTATAATGTCAAACTTTTATTAGGTAACATTTTTATCCAGATCGTTAGAGTTAAAACAGCACTGTAATAGATAAATATATTATTTCAAATAGTAATGAATCCAACGTAAAGTTGTTCGTATTCACCCACCGGAACCAGAAGCCTCACCCGTGACGTTATGGATCAGTGCTCTTAGCTTGACAAACACAAAGTAACAACATCTGACACCGCTTAACAATCAACTTCAAAACAAATTAAGCTACGCGAGAGTGTTTTCAAAGGAAATAAACGTTACGCTAATTACGGAATAATAGGTCAATTACTGTATAAACTATTTGATGGCTTTATAGTATTTAATATTAATTGTCAAATCAAAATCTCAGCGCCTGGTGATCTTTTGCTCCTGGCGGTCTTTTTCGATGTTCCTTAATCGGATAAAAGTAGAGTTGTCCCGGGTTCATAGCTATAGCTCTATTAGTTTTTGCGTGAATCGTAAATACACAGATAAACAGATTGACAAAAATTCTAAAAACCACCAATTTGGCTAGTCCCCTGGACTTGTTTTTTTTTTCCAGAAAATATTAGAATTATAGGCACGACTTTTCTTCAGATTTATTATGCGTATAGGATAACCCTTGCATTAACCATTGCATTGCTACGGGTACGAGTACCTACTGTATTTCAAAAGTTTTAATTTATTTAATTATCATCCGTTTGTGTGCCAATTTTTGAAAGTAAAAATATTTATTAACGCTACGATAAAAAAGATTTATAGCGGTTATTTTAAACGAACCATTTTCTTCGTACTCAAAAGATATTTTAATCTAATTCATCTAGTCCAGGAGGAATCGGCGCATGAGTACCGAAAACTATTCCACCTCAATTTTTTATGCGATTCTCTTCAAATTGTCCTACTGATGACATAAGTGCATGTTGGGATGGTATAAGTTGCGTTTCACTTAGCCTATTGAATATGGTTGGCAAATTTTCCTTCAGTTGTGTATGCCAATTCGCGTCACGAAAAAGCCAAAAAAAGGATTTTGTATACTCGGAGCCTAGTTGCCTTGTGAAGTCGAGACCATAGATGGGTACTAAACCACTTGAGTCTACATAAACTATAAAATATAATATACAAAGTTGATAGCTTTCTAAAGTATCTGGATAGGCAGAAAGTCTTATGGCTTCCAGTGGATGACGGTATGAACCATGTATTTTATTTGAACTTTGATAGCGCGATTTAGGCTTCGGCGCGTTTTGCTTACGGCGCGACGACAGCACTGCCACAGCAGCAGTCGCAAAATAGCATAATCAACGACGGGGTCCAGCGTCGAAGGTGCGAAACGTCCGTTACAGCGATTGACATATCACCTGCTAAGCGAGCGTGAACATTTAGGTAAATCCTCCCTACTACGACAGAGACTTATGTCAAGCAGTGGACTTTAACGAATTTATCACGATGAAATAAAGAAGGATGCCGGGATAACAATGATCCATGATTTTTTTTAAAGAAAAGTGGGCAAATGAGTATGCGGCTCACCTGATGGTAAATACCGGTATCTTTACTTTACTAGGAATTATCGCTCGATAGTTCAATGGTGGAGCGCCAAGCATCCAGATGGTGTGGATAGTATCGTGAGTTTTTCGTCGTCGCCGTGAATTATTCGTCCATTTATAAAAAAAGAAATCACTACCTCAAATTCTTTAGGTAAGGATTTTTAATAAGACGTATGAACTCCGATATTCCGGATACTGTAATTCTATTTAACTCATAATCTTTCACATAAGTAACGTATCTTCTGTTCGAAATTCAAACATCTGCGTTGGTGATAACGATGTTTATCGATTTTATTGATGCGAGAATTTTGATTGTAATAATTATTATTCAAACGTAAAAACTTCTTTAAAGGTTAAGAGGAAGATTTTACGAAAAGTTGTTTGACTGGAAAAGTGATTAAACCCGTTTTTAGTTCTTATTATGGTTATAAATATTCCATACATTGGTACCTACCACTGACATTTACAAAGCTGAGACCAAATGTCAAGTTGGAGTTGTGGGCAATTTAAGAAATATATCTCTCGGTAATTGCTTACGTAGTTAATGGCAGTTTCAAAAAAACTGTTGAAACAACGGAAAATTGGAATATACGTAATTACTCACGCTATTATTTTGTTTTCAAATGTGTATTGACCAAAGAGAATATAATCACTGGTATTGACATTCGATTACGATAATGAGTTGAGCTAGTACGCTTTTGGCTATATGCGACCCGCGTGATTTTTGGAATGTTGCGGTTTTTAGTTATTGGTTATTTGGTTTAACTGCGTCATTGCTGTAGTCGTCGCAGACGAACATGATACATGAACAAAATAAATACCTACATAATATATGATGTAGTAATTTATTAATAAATATTTTAACTACATGTATACGCACATCCAATCTCTTTGTACATGTATTATTCCTGTCGTAAATTGAATAATATATTATTTCAAATAAAATCGTCAGATTTATTTTATCTGATGCTGTTAACTAAAAGTTATCGCAAATAGCTTATTTAGTCGTAAAACTAACTAACTAGCTTTTCGCCTCGCGGTGTTACCCCTGTCCAAGTTGTAGCACCCAATACAATGTTGATCCACGCTTATTATGAGATCGCATAATAAGCGGAGCTCAAGCTATCTCATAATTCGGCGTTATAATGATCGCATAATTTAAGTTAGAGTAAGGCCTGTTGAATGGTGAAAACTATTCTAACAATCTTTCCTTTCCTACTCCAATACAAAAATCCTCCTTTTCAATAAATTATTTTCTGTAACTGCTGTATTCGCGTGCTCAACCTCTTAATTCCTTAAAAAACTACTCTAAACTTAATACTGGGAGCTCTAATATTTCCCATCATACTTCTTATCCTTTTTTTCTTTTTTTATCTATCCTACTTTCCTCAACTATCATGTTGTGTTTTTATTTTAATTTTTCATTTTATTGTATAGTTAATGTATACCCCTAGCCATTCTAAGGGCCTTTTCATTCAGTGTTACAGTAAGTTTCGAGTCAATCGGTCCGTAAAATAAAAAGCTTAATAGAAACTGTTATACCCTATTTCGCCTTCTAAGGAGTTGATTTTCCAAAGTCCTGTTTTTTAGAATAGAATAGAATAATTTTTATTCAATATAGGTAGATCATTAAATAATATTTATTGAAAGTAATTTTTTTATTTACCAATGATTTGCAAAATACCTCCGCCCTGGAAAGAACCAGCTAGAAAACCCAGCGGGATTATATATTTTTAAACATATATATTTATATATATATATATATATATATATATACTAGCTGTGCCCCGCGGATTCACCCTGCTGCTGAATTTGCTGAATTAACAAACATTTAACTGTAATAGTTAAACATATGGTATCGCAGACTTTTTTGTAGATATTGATATCCTCTATAAAACTGAAGTATATTACTTTGCTCTATTACCAATAGTTTCCGCAGCGTACGCGATATAAGGATTCTTTTTGGTATTTTTTTACACCTTGGGTTACATTAACGAAATTTTCATACGGATCATTAACTTTTTTGAAAATATTATATAGCCTATGTTTATCAGCGATAATGTAGGATTCTAATGGTGAAAGAATTTTTCAAATCGGTCCATTAGTTTCGGAACTTATTCAATTCAAATAAACAAACAAACAAATCTTTCCTCTTTATAATAGTAAAAGTTTTTTTTTTTTTATAGGACAGGGGGCAAACGAGCATGCGGCTCACCTGATGGTAAGTGACTACCGCCGCCCATGAACAACCGCAACACCAGGGGAATTGCAGATGCGTTGCCGGCCTTTTAAAAAGGAGTAGGCTCTTTTCTTGAAGGTCCCTAAGTCGTATCGGTCCGGAAAAATCGCTGGTGGTAAACTATTCCACAAGGAAGTTGTGCGAGGAATAAAACATCTTCTAAATCGCACAGTGGTGGACCGCCAATCATCCAGATGGTGTGGATGGTATGTGTAGATATATATATTATTGTAATAGAACCACTAAGGTGACGACCTCATAGCCAGGAGTTCTTTTCATTCATGTATTCCTTGATATTATATTAACCGTTAGTAACAAAACTTTTCAA